TTGGAAATACCTGGCAATAGCACTGGTTCACAGCTCCCTGCTTTCTCTCCCCTGTGCCGTACGTTTTGGAGAGGGTAGTCTCTCTACCTGCTTTTGAGCAGAGGCTGGTAGCAGAACTGGCAGGGCAGGTGGATGTTGTTTCAGTCCGTCTCTGGTGCTCCTTTCTCCCCCTCTAGCCCCATGTGTGGGACCATGTTGCCATCACAGCTGCCGAAGAGAAACCGAGGATGTTACTGGTGTGTACAGCCAGTATCGATCCCCGGAGGGACCATCGCATGGCCTAGTTTTGAGCTGCGACCTTGGTGCTTATGCATATATTTAACTTTGCATGTGTGAGCTATCCCATGAAAGCCAATGGACTGCTCACATGTGTGAAGTTAGGCATGTGCTAAAGTGCTTTGCCAGATTGCATACTGTGTCTATAGGGGCTTTGGGTGAACTTGAACCTGTTTTGTTGGGGTGAGAGGCTTTAGATTTCATTATTAAGAATCTGATATGTTACTCTGTCCGAGTGCAAGGTCTTGGAGTTATCTGAAATTCTCATTAAGACAGGAAGCTAGGAAAAATACAAATTCCTCCACTAGTAAAGTTACTAAAAATACTATAATTAAATTTTCTAAGTCTTAAACCCAGTAAAATATATTGAGAAAGTGTGGTAGAGGTATAAGTACAGTGTTCTGAGAGTACCGAAGGGACTAACAGCTCTTTCTTTGCAGGTCTTGAGCTGGAGAATTTGGAGTAGTTAATATAGCTGATGTAAAAAAGCACGTTGCGTTTGCCCTGCTCTTGATTCATAGGCTGTGACCCTTAATAAATTTTGATGTTGCACACAGTGGAGCTGTTGCTTTCGGAGAAAGCAAGGAAAGTAAGCAGGCAAGCAAGAAAGAAAAGGACCTAAAGAATGAACAAACAAGTTCTTTCATACGGCATTTCTCAATTGAGATTGTTTCTTATTTAGCTTAAGTTGTTCAAGTTCATCATGTACCATATCTGGGCAGTCCTGTAAGTGGGGTTTTGAAAAACAGAGCCAGCTTTATCTGGTGTTAAAAACATAAGCACACATTGAAAATGTATTTTCTGGAATATATTTCTGAGTAAAATACACTTTGTGAAAGAAATTCCATTATTGGTATTTTAGAATACCTGGAAGAGAGACTTGGTTTACAGCCTGATACCATAACATACAGCTAGGGATCTTCTTTTGCTCAGAGAGATGAAAGCAATGAAATATATAATAAATACCTAAAATGTGATCATGACTCGTAATGTTTCCATGAAATAGTAAAAAAAAAAAAAAAAAAAGGACTGCTTTCTTGTTTGTGTTGGTTTTTTCACATCAGTAGACTTAAGCCTAAGTACACTTGCTGACACGGTCTGAACAGACTGATATAGATGAAAGACGCTTGGCTGGCAGAAATCCCTTACTTAGAAGCGAAGAGCTGGAGCGAACGCTGTCCTGCTGCTCCACTAATCCTGCTTTGGGATGCTGCCTCTGACAGTGACACCGCTGACAGCGATCGCTTGCTGTTTGGCCTTTTGGACCAGGTCACCAGCAAGGCTGTGCACTCTTGATAGCCTCTGAGATGTGGAGCCTGTCCACTTGGGGATCGTGCAGGCCACCAGGCAGATGGCATGGGGTAAAAAACATTTATTGAGCTGCGTTCGAACCTTTCATTTCACTGAGGCTCTTTTTGAGGGGAAGAATAGCAATTGAACATGGGGAAAGGTATCCGAAGTCAGCCTTTAGTAATGGGATGGTTTGTTGAGCAAGGCAGTCCTGTGATGTGTTGCAGTTTGGGAGGGAGAGGCAGAGGCAGACAGCGATTTCTGAGGTGCTACTGTCCTCGTTTCCTTTAGGAGTCACGTCGGCTTTCCGTTTCGATTTTCTCATTTCCTAAAACCAGATGAATAGTGCTGTTTCATTACTTGCCTCCCAAGGTTTAATTAATAAATGGCTGCACTGTGCTTTGAGCAGGCTCGCTTGCTGTGCAGACAGACAGTGATGTTATTCCATTAGCGCGTGCGAGTGTCTGCAGCCTTGCTCCAATATGGAGTGCTCGCACTGGTGACGTACCGTGCCCTGGCGAAGGGGCATTGCCTCCGCCACAGCGCTCGTGCTGTTTGTCAGGATTGCAGGCTGTGGGCTGAGCGTGGGCAGGTGGACGCTTAGCAGGATCCGTTGACACCGCTGGAGTTAAGATAGTTCACACCTGCCGAGTGTTTTTCCCTGTTTCTAAATGCCGGTCACTGTGATCTGAAGTAGCTGCGGGAGGGAAGAGAAAGTCTTGAATGTTAAAGGCTGAGAGATGTGTTTGGCATGCGTTCTCTCCTTATGTTGGGATGAGGTCTTGCAGCCTGGATATCACTGAAAAAATCCCAAGTACTTCGGCTGGGCTGATGAATTCTACCGCTGCAACTGGGAAGTGATGTTTTCAGGAGAGCTTAAGTACCATCTTAAAAATTCAGTTAAACTTTTAGGAATAGCCTTTATAAATTAAGGCTCCTAGGTGCCTTAACCACTTCTCAGCACGGGCTGTGAGACTGTAAACTCTCTGGTCCTGTTGAAAAATATGTTCCCAGGCAACACATCTGTTTGCATTTGAAGATTAATCCAATCATACGTTTACAGAGTGCCACCACGCTTTTCAATCACATTTGCATTTTTGTGTCTAAAAATATGAGTATTCACATGTGCAATTATTCCACAGAGGCCATTTGTAGTAATTATGTGTAGACTTACAAAAGTCCTGTCTGTGAAGCACAGGGTCAAGTTAGTAGGAGATTGGCATGCCCTCTGGGGTGCCGTTATTACTTTACCAGCCATGAATGGTGAAGAATTTGTTCCCCGTTGTATATTTGACAATGAAACCGTTCTTAAATTCTTCCTCAGAGCCAAGTACAAGGCTGTCTTTTAATAAAAAATGTGTTTTTACCCATGTCTATATTTATTTCTTGCAGGAAT